GACGGCGTGAGACCCACAGGTTGGGCGATAATCCCTATTCGCACACACAACGCATTCCAGTACCTTAGCTCTTCTCCTCTCTCTCAGTGACAATGCTATGGGTTTGGAAACGTTTGCCAAAATCACAGTCAAATACGTGATAGTCACGACTTTCTTTTTTGCATGCATAGGTGTTTTCTTTGTAGAGACAGATACAGTAGGCCACTGAGTGTGTGCGGGCTCCGAGGTAGCAAGTGCGTCTGCTGTTGCTTTGTCGTCACACACGGTTGTGCCGTTTGTGCTGAGCATTTTGGTCGTTTGCTAGGTTTCCGGATTGGGCTTACTGGTGTGATCTGTGAAGTCCGTTATTTTTGCCTCAAGTGTAGCGATTTTTAAATTTACTCCTTCTTCAGCGGCTGACAGTAGTTTCTCGTACTTGTGTGTGATGCATTTTACAATCGGAATTTCCGGCTCACATACAGAAGGCTCGATTGGCATTTATCGACTTAAGACATCTGTGGCGCCGCCTTGACATCCGGTTGTCCGTGAATGGTTAAGTGTATGCTGCGGCAGTTCGGCCAGTTCTGCTATAAAACGCAGAAACCTGGTCATTAGGAAAAGAGGATAAAGATAAACTGTCAGTGTTTGAACACTGCTACCTACGCAGCATTGCACGAATCTGTTGGGNCAATGCTGAGGTTCGGTGCAGAGTTTTAGGTAATCGCGGTCGACCTCAATAGACTACGGTGTTTGGGACATGTACTGCGCATGTCACCAAATAGGCTACCACGGCGCGCGATGTCTGCGGAGACAGAAAGAGGTTGGATAAAGGTCAAGGACAATCAAATGAAGATTTGACATGACGGTATGAAAGCCCTTACCAACAGACTCGGTCCTATAGGTAGTGTTAAGCTCCCTGGATGCGAACTTCGGGGCCACTGTAATTAATGATTAGATACCCTGAGTGGTAAGGTTGAGTGTCGTAAACAGTTGTTTTCATGTAGTTACTCATTATCTTTACAACCTTGGTCTACCGGAACCGTCTCTCGAATCTTCTTTCAACTTCCCGATCTTCGAACCACTTCATTCAAATGGGTATTCAAGAGACAACAACCAAAGTGGACGCACGAATGTGCATGGTTAATGATTGGACAAAATGGACTGAAAACGGAAACCGTAATACTCAATTTTCAACCTTCGTCGAAATCATAAAACTCGAACAATTTTACGAAAATTGGCTAAGGTTTCTGTCGCCAATGCTCAATAAACAAATCCGATGATACTTTAGATCCCAGTTTCTGTGATGCAATGGTCGGTTACACTTGTGTATATAACTAATGATATAGCTGTCGTGAAGTGAACGCAGGATTTGGAACCAATGAAGTACACGTTCAGTTGCACACGGGAACATTTTGCACATGAAATGTCCCAATAAAGATACTGCACAATTTTATCACAGATTACACGGCTCTCAAGCGCATTCCGTGCACCACAATTCAGGTTCACAAACACACAAACAGAGATTGTCATAAGTATAAACATCTGAATACCGCATTCTGATTTCCATATACAAACAGGCAGGCAGGCGGTAAATTACAAACAATTTGCATTGTCTCATTCGAATAATACAAGACTGCGAACAATATACGACACTCTTTTCCTCCTCACTAAGTACAATGCACAATTGAGGGTTTTGGTAATTGACAGCACCACTGATCCCAGCCGTGAGGGGCAAAATAGACAGAGCACAGATGGGGGAGGATAATCTGATATCTTGTTGGGTAGTCGTCGGATTACTTATGTTGAAAGTCAACCGGCGGTGTTGTTAGAACACAAAAGACATCTTCGTGCGTTCTTAAGGGAAAAATGACCGAACCTCCTGAGGTGTTAGTTTCGTACTTTCAGAACTCTAACTAAAACCCGCGAGTAGTCTTCCAGTTTAATTTTGTAATTGTCATCCCTGCAAACCGCAGAGTAGCTCCTATATGCAACCGGTTAATTGGTCCATCGGGTTATTTATAGTCCCATGGGATAGGTTTAGTAAAGTAACCACTGGACCGCCCCCGAGCGCATCATCAGGCCTATGCAATCGTTTACTCGGGCTATGGTTACAACTTCTCCTGAATGAGTATATTAGGTCGTAGGGGCTGCCTCTTTTATCTCCTTTGCTACAATCACACTGTATGAAACCTATAACACATTTTAAAACATTCGACACAGACTTACCCATATAAATATGCCATGTCACTGATCAACAAGATTAGGTTGAAAATTTCTTTGTACGTGGGTAGTCTCATGATTTACACACAGACAGACAGGAGAACAAGATGTATAGATTTTAGGCCTGTCTTATTCGGTTCTCATGAGGTTTAACACTCTGACTCACAAAATTGAAGGCACTGATTCCCAAGACTCAATAACAGGCCTTTGCAAATCCTACTTGCCTATCGAAAAATATAAAATGGGCGTAACGAAGCAATCTATAGAATATCTACGTTTTGGCAACGAAAATATGCTTCATGGGGTGCACTGAGTATCAACAACGGGGTTACCTTAAGACAGCGCATAGTCAACTCTTTGTGTAGCGCATTTCGCAAACGGTCGGGGAATCGGTACAGTGCGGTGGATCCATAAACAAGTACTGGGGGTAGGGACAGACGTTTGGCTTGGTTCGTGAGAATATCCACAAAGACCGGATTGGTCACGAGTTGATGCCAGAATGAGATGGATCGATCTTCACCCGAACGAGTAATGTTGCGAACAGTCCATCGAATCATCAGGCGCTTTATGTCGCAGATATCAACAAAAAAGCAACGCAAGAATGAAACAAATAAGGATTGTGACCAAAAATTATGTGAGTGATCGACTTCAGAAAAAGATGTTTGTTAATGGTCTCCTAGTGATGGGAAGCAGCGCACTTCTCCGTTAATGATGTCCTTTTGAGGCAAAGATCAATAAAATGTGGAGCATTAAATTGTGAGTGAAACAGAATAGGCAGTCTCGATGGACGGAAAATGGAGAAAGGAACTGTGACCTGCATACACTGCACATAGCACAGACATCGAATAGCATAGTACTGACACAATCCGTCAAAAAGTCAGATCCGGTGAAGAATCACAAGAAAATATTTTCTTTGATCGGACGGTAACCGGTTTATTTACAGTATTATTATGCCACGTGCACAGATAATAGAAAGAAATCAAATAGCACACTCACACTGAGCAGGCGACTTTCCACAACTTGACCGGCCACGACAGTGAGGACGACACCTTGACGTATCCACTGATCCGAATGCATCTCCGGCGGTGAATCGATAAAATCGCGACAACATTGAA